TTTAAATTCTTTTTGGCTCCTTGAGTAAGAGTTCCTTAGAAATTCTGTGTGGAAACAGGAGTGGTTTGGGTTGGCACTGAATTAGGATATCTCTGAGTTCATGAGAGTGATGTTTTCCAAATGCTGTCACAACCTTATGCAAAATGATACTGACTTTTTGTTTGGTACTTGAAACATATTCTCACAATTTGTCATGTCTTTTTAAACTTTTTTGAGAGTATCTTCTACCGTAGAGTAATTTTATTTATAATGGTGGTCAAATTTGGTAGTCTTATTCTTTATTATTTGATTTTGGTAATATGTTAAGAAAAGACTTTCTCATTGTAAACCCGAAAATTATACTTTTCTATTTTGGGGGGTCTTTTTTTTTCTTACCAAAACATCTAAATCATTAATCCACATGAAATTTCTTTTTGTATGGTATATGGTGGGAACCTGACAATCATTAATGGCTCCTCCACCCGAATATTTAGGCATTTTCTCCAACATTATTGATTACTTTTACTAGTTTTGAAATTCCAACAGTAACAAATCCACTATTTGCCCTTTCTGTGCTTATCTACAACCTAATATACCCCAATAGGATTTGTGTGATTTAAAATCACATTAGTTTATAGAAAAATGTACAAAATGTGAATATCCTCTTTTGAAGCCATCATAATACTAATGTTTGATGAATAATTGAGCATATTTATCTTTCTCCTATTGATACTTAAATGTGAATGTCTTTAATAGTCACACTGACCATTCCAGCCTTTCTTAATTAGAGGTATTCTAAGAGCTGAAATAAGATGCCTGTGAGCTCAGGGAAGCAATACCACAACACTGCCTTCACAGAACACAGAAAAGCTCAAGTCACAGTTAAAAAAAAAATGACCTCTGTCCTATTGAGTTTTAATAATAGAAAAATGTCATTGATTCAAAGGATGTCAGTGCTGGCTAGAACCATGATTATACCTCTAAATCAAGCTGGCATTTGATACACGATCAAACTGAGGCCTACTGAGGAAAAATGCAGAGATATGCCTAAAATTCAGATAAACCCTAATAATAAACTTAGCAGTATCAGCAATTATTTTAATATGCCCAATATTGTGGGCTACATATTAGACATCACTTAGATTCTTTAAATAATCCAATATTATTTTTATTTGTTTAGTTGAGAAAACTGAAGTTCAGAAGACTCAGGTAACTTACTCATGTATATATAAGCTGGAGTTTATACCCAGATTGGTCCAATCTGAAGTTAAAGCTAATTTTTCCGTTTGCTAATTTCCCCTGTTTTCTTTTTACATTTATGCTCAATGACAAAGGTTTGTAAGCTAAATATGGTAATTGAAGAAATGCCTTCCACTAAGAATATCTATATTTGGCGACTTCGAATCCTATCAATTAAGCTTTGTATTTCTGCAAGGCTGCAGGAAAGTCATACAGAAGGGTTATTTTCTGAGTGACTATTTCTGTTGAACAAAGATGAAGTTATGGATGAAAGATTTCTGCAATTATTTTGAAGGCATTTTTATACAAACTTTTATACTTACCTATAATTAGGACTGTCTTGATGACTTTACCATATACTTTAAGTTAGTAAACCGTGCCAGGATACATTCACTTTCTGCAAGGTAGACATCATCTTTATAATTTAATAAAATAGAAATATTTTATAGTAAGAACTTCATTTAGAGTAACAGTTTGAAATGTGCTGGGTATAGCTTCTGGGCTCGCTTAATTTATAGATAGCCTATTTCAATTTTCTAGCTTGCACCCTCATGGTTCAGCTAAATTAAATAGCTTTAACAATTGAAAAGAAGGAAGGGGGCCTGTTTACCAGCAAAAATGGGAAAAAGCAGAAATAGCCTGATTGCTTCCACCCTAATTTGACCCTTCAGGTCCCAAAGGCATGAGATGTGGCTGGAGAAGGAGGTGATGTTAACTGTTTTTCTTGGACTAATGCTGCTTCTGGGTCCCCATATTAGGTTGCTTGGTTTTATTTTATTAAGGCAGTGGAGAGGCATTAAGTTGTGACCCAAATCATCATCTGGACAAGAAAGCAGTACGCTGTGGCCACTCTCCTTTAATTGATCTTGCTGCTTCTCCTGCGAGATGCTGTCCATCCAAGTGGGGCTAGAATTCCACTGCTCTCTTCCCCAAGGTCATTATATCAGAAATAGCAGGTGAGGTGGAGTGGATTGATGTTTCATCTCAACTTATGGATTTAACATTTGGAAATTTTATAAATTAAAACATGTCTTTGGCTAGCTTACCTGATTAGTAGAAAATTACTACAACATTACTAGTAATATTACAAATACATTAATCAGGTAAAAATATAAGCATAATTACTATTCAAATCCTGTGCAAAATCTTAGTTTGTATTTTTGTTTTTTAAAGAAAATAAATATTATTAAAGAACAATATATTAAAAAATGTCCAATACTTTACTCTTTATTATAATATACATAAAACATTCACAAGCAGAGCTTTAAGAAACAATTGCAAAATGAAAGACATATTTCCATGCAGGGGGAGCTAATGTCTTTTATCAGGAGGGGATGGTGTTATGCAAAAACCATGCAAATCCAGTGGGCACCTCAGTAATCAACAAGAAGGTACAATGATGTTAATATCCTATACTACATGAAAAATTGAAATGAGAAATGTGTCATTTGTTGCAAACTGTTCTCAATAGTTGGCTTTTCAGACAAGTAAAAAGAAAATACAGCCCAGAGCCAACACATTTCATCGTTTAGATTTCATTATAAAAATGACAAAAGCTTACTGGCTTGGAAATATTAAAGGCAATAAGATGGGATGTAGGATTCTGTTAATAGTTGTCAAATCTAAAGAAATGTCAAGCAATATAAGAGGAGAGGTGGCAAATAGGAAATTTCTGAGGCTCTCATAAATAAAGTCTTTACAAAACGGTTGCCCAAGTGGTTCTCTCTGGTCTGAAACCTATTCTACATTTGGAACATTTTCCTACTTACCTTGTGAGGCCATGCAATTATTACACTTTAAGCCTGCCTTGCTGTGCTAACAATGGCAGTTAGACAGGGTCCAGTTGCTAAGGAAGACTTAAAGCCCAAAATGACAATGCTTATAAATTTACAGTTTGTTTCCAAAAAAGGTACACTATAGCAACATTATTAAAATAAGGATATGCATGATAGCCAAGGCTATCTCCCAGCCAGGCATCCAGGAAGACCAGATGCAATCTCCAATTGCCCTTCCTCTGTTAGGTCCGTGTCAGGAACACATTTTCCCTCAGATCAGGAAGCAGATGACCACAGAATACCTTGAAATCAGGGAGCCCAAAATATCGTCTCGGCCAGAATTTCTAATAGCCACTTGGTCAGTTATTTAACCAGCTTGTTAACTTGTTACTTAAGTATCTCTTATATTGCAGTACCATTCTTCTCCACTCTGGTCTCCAGGGGTTTCACCAAGATCAGGTATAAATCATCAATCTCACTATTACCAATAAACAATGCTGACAAAATAGTATGAATGACCCTGAAACTACATAAACTCGTGGTTAAAAAGCAATACCAGAAATTGCTATGTTTCAGGGCCAAAGATCAGTGCCTTGCAGGTATTTTATTGAAACAATTCAGGTGAATTCCAGACTTGATGGAGTTAATCCTCACCGTACACTTGCAAATAGCTATAGACTTACTGGCCCACAAAAACTGTTCAGAAGATGTTGATTGTTTTTGCCAGATAATTAGAATTTTTTTTTAGTAGATATATGTAGTGATGCTTTAAGACATCCAGTATGCTGATTGTATAAAACAACTATTTCAAGAATTGCATTGTGAAAAGAACATTATTTCGTCTTTTACTCTTATGTAAAGGTAAACGAAATGTTATGGTTCTTCTAGAAAACGTCGCATTACAATGCTGTGAAATTTATACATGATTATTTTCTAGGAGGCTTATATTTTTTCAGACAGTACATAGATGAATCTTGACACCTTAAGTGAAGGTGAATGTATTACTAGTTTGTTCATTTGGGTACTGGTGTATGAAATTTTCCTAGTTATAAATTTATTGCCTCTTAGCTCCAAATCTACCCTTCATTGCCCTGTTTGTGTTAGTGGAACATATCTTCCTTGTCAGCCGGCATGGCGCCAACCTTGTCAGTAAAGGACTCTAGAGGGACATAGAAGGAGGAAGGGGCTTCTCTTCCTGTGTCATGTGCTGTGCTGCTTCTTGTTTGTGTGGATCTACAGTAGCATGTAGGACATAATACCCTAGATCCACGAAGGGGAACCTCATCTTTGATGAGTTCAGCAGGTAGTTTTGGTTTTATTAGTTTCACAAATACTACCCATGGCTTCCTAGAAGCAAGGTCAGTGGCATGCCAGTTGTTCATTGAATTCTTGTGGGCACCACAGCTGTCTCCTACAAGGCAAATTCCAAGGGCCCTCCATCTACCTTCCTGAACCTTCCCAGTGATGGCCTTTGGTTGAGTTACCTGTGGGCAGCTCTTGGGTAGCTTCCTGGTAAGGCTAGTTAGTGCCTGACCTAACTTTCCAAGAAGTTCAATAGCAATCATAGTGTATAGTTCTGTGGAAAGTTTTGTGGGTGCCCCAGCAGACGATTTTCTGTTTTTATCCTTAACCTGATAACTTTGAGAAAACTCTGGCCTAGGAAAACCCAGAAATCTCTGTCATCCAGTGGGCTGCAATTTTACCTTCTCCAATGAGTTCTGAATCTCCACCCCAGGGAGAAGGCCCCTCCCTCCGCTTCTAAGTTTGTTCCTTCCTTGGGTATATATCCTAGAATATTTGGAGGTTTTCTTTTATTACTTCTTAGTTAATTTATTAAACAAAGTTAATATTTCTTTATTTTAAATATTCCCTGTTCAAATTACTTGGCAATGTTTAGTAATGAATGTATCCATAACTGACACATAGACACAATGAGGGAAACAACAGACACTGGGGCCTACCAGAAAGTGAAGGGTGGGGGGAGGGAGAAGAGCAGAAAAAATAACTATTGGGTACCAGGTTTAGTGCCTGAGTGATGGAGTCATCTCTATAGGAAACCCTGGTGACACAAGTTTACCTGTAACAAATCTGCACAGGTACGCCTAAACCTAAAATGAAAATTAAAAGAAAGTTTCCATTCAGTTCTTTTTTAAAAATAATAAACAAACAAAAGAAAGGAAGAAAGAAAGAAAAAAAACTAATATGACTGCTAGTAGCTTGGGAGATTTTATTGTTCTCATAAGGACAAGGAGTCCCATTAAAACGGCCATGAGATACTTCCGTTAAACTCATCTCAAAGAGACATATGTGTGTATATATTTAAAGATTATCCTCTACATTCTCCTGTTTGTGAAGCCTTAAAATTCTTTAAATCTTAAAGTCTCTCATAAGAATTTTACTAGACAGTTGATATCCAGGAATATGAAGCCTGGATCATCTTTTATTTCCAGCATCACTAGATCAGTTAAGTATCAAAATTACAGAGAATTTTAATATAATCTAGAGGAAAGGTGAGCAGCCTTATAAGAAAATAAAGAAAAGCAGATTATCACTGGGTAATCCAGTTTGAAAGAAAAAAAGCTGGCTATAACATTACTTAGTACAAATTAATGGAGACTGAAAATTTTTTTCTGACTAGCAATAGAAGATAAAATTTTAATAAGGTCATTTTGACAGTTTTGATCCAATTGATGAGTCTCCCTTCAAAGTTCCACGTCATAGTGAAATAAAATTATGAGAAAGGAAGAAATAGATACAAATATTTGATCATTATTCCAAATAGCCAGGAAGGAAGCCACAGCCTGAAAGTGTAAGTCTGACTGATACATAATAGCCTTTCTGGTGAGGAGAGTCACTATAGTGATGCTTCATCATTTCATAATGTAGGTAAAGAATATATGTTTCACCCACAGAAGGAGGTGAATGTATGTTTCACCCAGAAGTTTTCTGTTGCTGGCCGGGCGCGGTGGCTCACACCTGTAATCCCAGGATTTTGGGAGGCCGAGGCGGGCAGATGACGAGGTCAAGAGATCAAGACCATCCTGGCCAAAATGGTGAAACCCCATCTTTACTAAAAATACAAAAAAATTAGCTGGGTGTGGTAGTGCGTGCCTGTAGTCCCAGCTCCTCGGGAGGCTAAGACAGGAGAATTGCTTGAACCCGGGAGACGGAGGTTGCAGTGAGCCGAGGTTGTGCCATTGCACTCCAGCCTGGCGCCTGGTGATGAGTGAGACTCTGTCTCAAAAANAAAAAAAAAAAAAAAAAAAGAAGTTCTCGGTTACTTACACTACAGAACAGGACTTCTCAGGCTGCAGCCTCTGACAACCAGAAAGGCAGGAGCCTCGAGCCAAAACTATGCAGAAATAATTACTGCTAATTACTGGAACACTAAAGTGTAGTTCTGATGCACCATTAGGGGTTTCCCAAGAGCTTAATTTTACTTATTTTATTTTTTTCTTTCTAGAGAAAGGGCCACCAGGCAGTGAACCATAAGCAAACCGTTAAGTACATGTAATCCCCAAAGAAACTGGACATGAGCAGAGGAAAAGCATCTTGTTCTGTACACCTCACAAAATGAGACAGCTATTTTCAGGATATTTTGCTTCCCTCCTTTCTTCCTCTTTCATCCCTTTCTTCATTCCACAGACTGAGATGAAATGCCATCTTTCTATTCTCAGAGGAGTCCTGGACCTTGGCTTTTACCGTTCCCCAGCTCTATGATTATTTGATGGTTATGCTTTTCTTTACTGCCTTCATTATTTTCACATCACCTAGTTTTAAAATTTGTATGTTTATTCTTATAGGGGCTCCATATTTAAGAAAATAGACTCTTTGATCTTGCAATGTCCTCTCTTGTCTCCCATGAGTAGAATTTTCCAGCGAGGAGGCTACATCCATTGTTTCCATGTTCTTGATTGTGGGAGGTCCACTTTTGTATTGACTCTGGGATGCCAGAGTCACATTGATCTGTGACTCCAGCTTGGCCTTTGGCTCACTGTTAGCTGCCCCCCAGGTTTCCTGGGGGTTTGGGCACTTGGTGAGGGCATCCTTGTTTGTTGATACATGGGTACTCTGGATTTTCCGGCATTGGTACTGTTGCCAACCTCCCAGATGCTCTGGAGTTTTCCGCACTGACATTCTTTCTAGGATTGTGAGTTACAGCCTGCAATCTTGGTCTCTTGCTTTCTGCCTTGAAATTAGAAGTTATTATTTTTCTGTTAGCCATTGGGGCCGCTTCCCACGTCTTTCCTTCTGTGTTGCTCAAGCCCATCTTAGTCAAAGGGACTAGGAGCATCAAACACTGGCCTGATTGACGGACAATTACCTGGTGGTAGACAGCAGCTGCCTAAACATCTTTTCTGCATTTCTGCTGCTGAGCAGGTTCTCTGGTGAGTTAGGGTCTCTGAGGTCTCCCCTTGGGCAGCACTTCTCACTCCTTTCTTCGTCCCTTTCACAATCACCTTCTGTTTAGCTCCTCTCTGACCAAATTAAGATGCTTCCCTCTTTCTTTGTGGAATTCAGGCTCATCATTCTATCCATTCATTGTCCATAATCCCCTTTTACAACCCTTTGCTGTTTACACTTTCTTAGCAGAAAGTGAGAATTTAAAAAGGAAAAATAACTAGGCATGCACCAGACTAAGGCTAACTCAGACCTTCCCGTAGATATCTTTATTAGACATGGGGACTGCAGAGAGCAACCTGAAGGACTCGCCACTAGGGTGTCTTTTAGGCATTTGGAGAATATTCAAAGTAGACAATAAGAAGAAGAAAAAATTCATTTTCTGTTGCAACATTATTGGGTCCAATACAAATTGGTGAACCGAAAGATTTGGCCAGGACATGGTTGTTTACCTTATAATGTTACTTAACGATTAGGCTTGTTCTATAGAAAGGAAGGAATACAGGGAGATGTTCCTTATGTGTAGGCTTTTATGGCCCTTTTTCAGGATACTGATCTCAGAGACATCTGTAAAATATGTCTGGCTTATGATACTCCTAGGCACCAAAAAGCTATGCCAGATATCCTAGATGACACCCTCCTAGCTGCTACCCCTAGAAGCCCTGTACCCCCTCAAAGCCTCCTCAGTTCTCCAGTTCTGAGTAGGGCCCTGTCAGTTTTATAGTGCAAGATTCCACCCCAAGGTCACCATGCATCCCTCCCCCTTATCCAGCAAACTCTGTCCTGCATCCCTTACTGCCCAAGGATGTAAGCCCAACCAGCACTACTAGGAGTAGGGCCCCATATCAGCCCCCAAAATAAAACCTGTATCTATTGTGGGAAGTAACTGACAGAGATGGGGGAACAATCAGAGTATGGATATGCCTTTTTCCATGTCCAATTTGACTTTATACAAGGGAAAGGTTGGCTGCTTTTTAGAGGCTTCAGGGAAGTTTGTAGAGGAATTTGTTAAGTTGACCATGCCTTTTGATTTAGCTTGGAGTGACATGCAAATATTATTACCCACGTGCTGTACCTTGTTTGGAAAAACAAAGGATTCTAGGAACTGCTCGTGACTATGCAGATAGCGTGGCTGCTCGTAATCAAGGCCACACGATTTTGTGGTGTAGAAGGAGACACAGTTCCAGAGCTAGACACTCAATGAGATTATTAGAGGAGTTCCTAAGATCTTGAACACAGAAATCATAGGCTCACTTGTTTAATAGAAGGTTTGAATAAATGTTCAGTTAAGCCAGTTAATTATGACAAGGTAAGATAAATAACTCAGAGGAAAGATGAAAATCCCACTCTGTTCCAGATCTGCTTGGTTGAGGCGCTTGGGAAATATTCTAATCTAGACCCAGACTCCCCAGAATGGTGAGCTCTCCTGGGTGTGCATTTTATTACCCTATCTGTCCCTGATATTAGAAGGAAGTTATAAAAGGCAGCAATGAGGCCTCAAACTTCTGTGAGCCAACTCTTAAACATGACCTGTGGGGTTTATAACAACAGAGAAAGCACAAAAGCCGAGGTGAAAACTGAAAGTATTGGCCCAAAAGCGCAATTATTAGCAGCTGCTTTAAGCCCCCTGCTGCCTCAGGGTCACCATGCTGAGAAAATGCAGTAAGATCAGCAACTGCGATGACCGCTCCTTAGAACGAAATTAGTGTGCCTTCTATAAGCGAGGACCACTGGAAGAACTCCCTCAGGCTTAAAAAGGAGTCTCAGTCACCCAAATCCATAATGGCCCAGAGAATAGAGGACTGATGGGGCCCAACGTTCTCTGTGACTTCCACTGGACACCCTTTCATCTCCAGAAGGCCCTCGGCAAGCTTTGATGTGGCAGGAAATAATATTGAGTTCTTATTCGATATGAGTGTAGCCTACTCAGTTCTGGCCCATTTCTTAAGGCTACTGTCTTCCTGCTCTTGTACCATAACAGGGATTGATGGCCAGACGAAAATTAGGAGATTCACTCACACTTTTGGTTATACCATGGGGTACCATATGTTTTTCCACAGATTTTTGCTTTTGCATGAGCACGTTATTCCTTTACTGGGAAGAGACTTAACTTTCCCAATTACAGGCTGCAGTTCAATTTGAAGAGCCTCATGAAAAGGCAATGGGCCAGAAAGGAGCATTTCTCCTAGTTCTAAGTACAGGCCTTATCACAAATAGAAATGTGGCCAGGCACTGTGGCTCATGGCCGTAATCCTAGCACTTTAAGAAGTCAAGGTAGGTGAATTGCTTGGGCCTTGGAGCTCAAGACCAGCTTTGGCAACATGGTGAACACTGTCTCTACAAAAATACACAGAAGATGTGAGCTGGGCATGGTGGCATGCACCTGTACTACCAGCTACTAAGGGGGCTGAGGTGGGATAATCACGTGAGCTCATAAAGTTGAGGCTGCAGTGAGCTAAGATCACACCACTGCATTCCAGCATGGGTGACTGGAGTGAGACTCTGTCTCAAAGGAAAAAAAAAAAAAAACGATAATTCCATTAAAATAGTATCAAAAACAATACTTACAAACTTAACCAGGAAGACTAAAGACTTGTACACCTGAAAAAAAAACAGATAAAGAGAAGACCTCCCTTTCATGACATTGTGCTTCTCAAGCAGACCTCTCTGCTTAGGGCCTAGAAGCTCCTGGTAGAGCTATTAATGTATCCCCAGTCCAGGTTATTTTAAAATCCGTTGTTAATTAGCCATGGTAAAGACAGTATCCACTGAGACCTGAGGCTCAGAGGGGCGTCCAGCCCCTGATAGCAAAGTTCTTTAAGTACAGATTACTACAATCCTATCAGTCGCCATGAACACCCCTATTTTGCCGGTAAAGAAACCAAATGAGGAATATAGACTTGTTCAAGATCTAAGGGCAATTAATGAGGCAGTAGTCTCAGTCTACCCAATGGTTCCTAATCCTGACACAGGACTGACTCAAGTCCCTGAAGATGCTCATTGGTTCCTATGTTATACATAAAATATGCTTTCTTTGGTACACTGTTACCCCAGAATCCCAGTATATTTTTTATTTTGAACAGACTGATACAGACACTTATACTACATCTTAGCTTACCTGGGAAGTCCTTCCTCAAGGTTTTGGGGACAGTCTTTCACCATGCATTAACGACGGAGTTAACAGAATCATAGTTAACTAATGGATCCCTCTTATAATATGTGGATTACCTATTAATTTCCAGCCCTTTTAGGGAAGACTGATAGGAACACAATGCAGATCCTGATTTTTCTAGGAAAGCAAGTGTATCAGATGTTTCCTTACAAGGCTAAGATCTCTTTACAGAAATTTGAATATTTGGGGTATGTGCTCATCCCTGGGACAAGGACCATGGCCCAAGAATAAAAAGAGACCATCCTGGCACTCCAGGACCCCCAGACTAAAAAACAGTTAAGAGCTTTTTTAGGAATGGCTGGATTCTGCTGGATTTGAATTCCTGGATTTGGGTTCATAGCAAAACCACTCTATGAAGCTGTAAAAGGGAGAAATCATAACCCTTTGAATTGGGACATAACCTGTTAGAAGGCATTCTTAACCCTAAAAGAAAAGCTTGGAGCAGCTGCTGCTTTGGAGTATCCAAACATAGAAAAACAAGGGATGGCTTTGGTGTTCTAACTCAAACACTCACGGATAATCCCAGACCAGTGGTTTACTTTTCTAAACAGCTAGACCAAGTGGCAGCTGAGTGGCCAGAATGCTTCCAAACTGTGGCTATCACCACTGTATATTAGTAGAAGAAGACAGTAATTTTACCTTGGGACAACAATTAGATATCATAACCCCCCATCAACTATAGGGGCTCCTAGAAGCAAAGGGACACCAGTGGCTGAAGGGGGATAGTTACTTACATATTAGGCCATTTTGCTTGACACTAAGAGGTTACTCTTAACGTATGTTGAGTTTTAAACTCTTACACTGTTGCCAGACTTCACAAGTCCCAAGGATAAGATCCCTAATTCATTCATTCCTGTGTAGAATCCATAGAACAGCTTACTGTAGCAGGCCTGATCTCAAACGTGAGCCCTTGCATAGTCCTAATGTTGAGGGGTTTACAGATGGAAGTAGTTTTATTCATGAGGGAGTCAGAACGGCAGGTTATGCTGTGGTTAGCCAACAAGAAGTCATTGAAGCCAAAGCTTTGCCTCCATAAAGTTCTGCTCAAAAAGTGGAATTAATTGCTCTAATTAGGTCCTTCTAATTGGGAAAAGACTCAGGAGTCAATATATTTACTGATTCCAAATATGGGTTTCTGGTGTTCCATGCTCATGCTGCCATATGGAAAGAAAGGGAACTATTAATAGCCAAAGGCTCCTGCATACAAGATGCTCTGAGATCGTGGAACTTTTTGACGGTGTATATCTCCAAAAGAGATAGCAGTTATTCACTGCAGGGGACACCAAGAAGGAGACACCTCAATCAGAGAAAATGTTCTGACAGACAGAGCAATCAATGCTGAAGCTAAAGAAACAGCAGTACTGTAGGCTGCTGCACTAATACCTAGTGTTCCACCCATGTCCGCGGCACCATACTATCCCCTTGAGGAAGTAAAATGGCCAGAACAGAAAGGCTTACAAAAGGATCCTTCAGACTGGTTGCTAGAAAGCAACAGACTCTTTGTCCCCAAGGCTGAGCAATGGGAAATAATTAAGTATGTCTGTGACTCCTCATATTTGGGAGAGAATTCTCTATTCAAATTGGTTTCTTAAATCTTCTTTAGAAAGAAACTATATGAGACTGTAAAGAGGGTCACCAGGGCCTGTGAACTTTGAACCCCATACCCCCACCCCTACTCAAACCTGTACGACACCAAGGAATATACCCTGGGAAAGACTGCAGAACAGATTTCACCCATATGTCACCTTACTGAGGACTAAAATACTTGCTAGTATATTTATAGACACTTTCACCAAGTGGATAGAAGTTCTCCCCACAGGGACAGGGAAGATGTTAAAAGTGTCCAAGTCCTTACTTAGAGAGATCATCTGAAGGTTTGGATGATCAAAAAGTCTTCAAAGTGATAACAGAATCTCCTCCAGCAGGTTTCCTCAGCCTTAGACATTACCTATCATCTTTACTCTTCCTGGAGATCTTAATTCTACAGGAAGGTAGAAAAAGTCAATCATGTTCTCAAAAGAATGCTAGTAAAACTCTGTCAGAAAACCTCAGACGCCTAAGTTTTTCCTCTTACTGATAGACTTGTTGCACATGAGGATGGCTCCAAAAGGAACCTTAAGGCTTAGCCCATTTGAAATGACTAATGGAAGGTTTTTTTTTTTAACTTTAGACCTCCTGTTTGATGATGAGATATAGAGAATGCTCACTGATATCATCAACTTATGCCAGGCTCAAACGGCCCTTCACTCATATGGAAATAAAATATTGTTTCCTCCCACAAGGGAAGATATTCTCCCATTAAACCAGAAACTTAGTCTTACTAAAAACTTAGAAAGAAGGATCCCCCCACAGTCAGTCATAACAAAAATGGAAGGGCCTCTAAATCTGGTTAATTACTGCCTCCACCCTGCTGTCAATCTTCAGGGAATAATTAGTTAGTTACACATACCCAGGCAAAACCTGTTTCTTATGAGTTGCAGTCACAAAGGAAGGTCACCACCACTTACATCTGTGAATCTTTGGAAGACCTCTGCTACCTATTTAAAAGAATTAACATGAGGACTTCCACCAAGGTGGCTGAATAGGAACAGCTCCAGAGTGCAGTTCCCAGCAAGAGTGATGCAGAAGATGAGGGATCTCTGCATTTCCAACTGAGGTACCAGGTTCATCTCAATGGGACTGGTTGGACAGTGGGTGTAGCCCAAGGAGGGCAAACCGAGGCAGAATGGGGTGCTGCCTTACCTGGGAAGCATAACTGGGCCAGAGAACCCACTCCCTCACCCAGTGGAGGCCATCAGGGACTTTTCTGGGCACTCCACACTCTGGTTCAGATACTGCACTTCTCCCATAGTGTTTACAGACCACAGACCAGGAGATTCCTGCCAGGCCGATAAGCACCACAGGTTTCCAGCACAAATCTGGATGGCCATTTTAATTGGTACCTGGAATGCCTGCGAGACAGGGCCACCCATTCCCCTGAAAAAAAGGGGACTGAAGGCAGGGAGCTAAGTGATCTGGCTCAGCAGGTCCCACCCCACAAACCAGCAAAATGACACCCACTGGCTTGAGAGTTTTGCAGCCAGTTTGAGCTCAACCTGGGACAGTTGAGCTCAGTGAGGGGAAGGTTGTCTGCCATTACTGAGGCAGTCCACCATTACCAAGGCAGTCTGCCATTACTGAGGCCATCCATCTTTTCTGAGGAAGTTCTAACTTTACCCATGTAAACAAAATTGCAAGGAAGTTTACACAGAAGCTGGTGGAGCCAGCTGCAGCTCAGCAATACCTCTGCGGGCAGACTGTGACTAGACTCCCTCCTTGCTGGGCAGGTCATCTCTGAAAAAAGGCAGCAGCACATCAGGGACTTATAAAGCCCCACCTTCCCAGGACAGAGCACCTGGGAAAAGGGGCGGT